TGTGTGTGTGTGTGTGTGTGTGTGTGTGTGTGTGTGTGTGTGTGTGTGTGTGTGTGTAGAGAGAGAGAGAGAGAGAGAGAGATTAATTAGCAAGACAGAGGTCCCACACCAAGGGTGGTTTTAGCTCCATCTCCTGTGGACAGCCAGGCCACTGCTACCAGGAAAAAAAAGCTGGTTTCTAAGCAGGCAGAAATGGCAATAGTGGGCGCCTGAATAAATTCACTCTGACTTTCAAATTCTGAGATTGTCTGATGGAAAATTCCTATATCAGATGAGTATTGATTTCATTTTTTCATACTTAATTTGATGAGCTTTGTTAGAATGCCAGATTTGGAGAAATGAGATCAGGGTGAAAAATCCCATCTCTGATATCAATTACCTCTGTAACCTGCTCTTAGCTACAAAGAGCCTTAGTTTTCTCTTCCTAGAGTGAGGTTAATGCCCACCTCACATCATTGTTGTGAGGCACAAATAAAATGGTATTTTTCAAAGTATTTTACCAACTATGAAACTATACGTTTGGGTTCTTTTAGAAATTATTGTTATTATTTTGAGATAACCTCTAGTTTTCTTCTACATTATGCTTTTCAACTGCATCTGAGAGTAAATGCATTTTAAAGTGAATCTCATATTTAGCTACATCTTACAAAACTGTTTCTGTTTTCCAGCTTGTAAGCCCAAACTAATACCTCTTCACTGACATGGACACGGTAGTTTTTATGAATGCAAACACTGTTCAGGAAGCTCCTATTCATGTTATAACCTAGTTAACACTGGTTCTCTTTGGAAAAAGAATTATGGATGATATCCATACTTTAAAACTTTTAAAAAATTAAAGGACATTTATGAGTTGGCATATTTCAAAATATTTAACGATATTTCATTTTTAAATGTTTGCTTCTTTTTTGGTAAAGTGTATGTTGGCTATGGGGGTAATGCCTAACTCTTCCATAGTCACGTTTTAATTCCTCTAAAATAAGCCATCTGTAAATACTCTTGACCAAATTATTTTATGTAAGGGTATCGGCATTATAAAGCCCCAGGGTTCTATGATATATCAGATTGGACACAAATTGGGATGGTCTCCAGTTTTTTTAGGGAAATACACTGCCTGGAACAAGAGAATACAGTCTGTCTAGCTTAGACCTGGTGGTTGATCATCATCATCGCCATAGCCAGCACTGATTAGTAAAACTGAGTAAGGAGGAAATTGAGGCAGGGAGCATTTATGTGGCTTGCCCACTGCCACAAAAATTGCAAGGTATAGAACCAGGATTCCAATGCAGGCAGTCCAGCTTCACAGGTGTCATGTGAACCACAGTGTTGATGAACCCCCCATATTGTCTCTGCAAACTGGGCACTAGCAGACATGACACATTCTAGAAATTCCAAAGCTCCAAATGCTCCCAATGCAGTGTTTTGAAAAATTCTATTAAGAATATCTAATACCAAGAAAAAAAAAGAATATCTAATACCTTGTGTAAATGCAGCTTCAGTAGACAATTAAACCTCTAAAGCAGCATGGATAAACATTGTATTTGAAGAAAATCCTTTGCTCCTGCCATCCAACTTTTCATTCTTTACAAACCAGAGATAGTAAACAATTGCTTCATGTAAATCATTGTGAAATGATGTGACCTCCTTTCTGTATGGGTCTCTATTTTAATGAGTTTTGAATGCGGGATCACAAAATTCATGATAACTTGCTTTTCTCTGTATGCATGAATAGCTAGAAGCTTCTTCTGTGCGATCAGAAGAATGCAGAACCAAGAATACAGATGACCAACTGTACCGTTAAAGAAAAGCAGAAACTTTTAGGATGAGAAGGGGCCAGAAAATGTATGTAGTCCCATCTCTTCACTGATGCAGGCACCCATTCTAATAGATCCTTATAGGTAGTCAAAAGTTTCTGCCGAAACTTGTCACTGGAAAGCTGGCCCACTCTTTGTGAGGCAGCCCCATGATTGGAAAAGTTCTAGTTGATGTAACTTCTGCCTTATATTGAATTGAAATAAGCCTCCCTATAACTCCTACATAGTTCATGATATCTTCTGAAACAGTGAAGAATACATCTGCTCCCTTTTTCTGGGAAGAGTTTTTTTTAAGACTGAAGACAATTTGATACCTTCCCCTCATTATACTAAATGTCTCCAGCACCTTGCCAATCTCATGTGATAAGGGGGGATGTGGGCCACACAGCATCCTGGCTCCCCAGCTCTGGACAGATCAACATTAACATATCATTCATTCTTACTGAGCCTTTCTTCATGAAAATTTCCCAGGCTTTATCAATAGCCATGAACTATACCTCTTTTCTCAGCAGCACTGGATTTACATTATCCTTTTCCAGATAAAGCAGTTTTATCAGGTTACTCATCCAATAATCCTAGTCTATCAAGACCTTCCTAAGACTTGGTTGTCACTTAGTATATCAGTGACCCTTTTCAACTATGTAATGTGTTCGTTTTAAGAAACTTTCCCTAAAACAACAAACCTTTGAAGTTGTTCACCAATGTATTGAGTGAAGTGTCGAATAAAGTAGAACTGAAAAAAAAAAAAAAAAAAAACTTTGTAGCTTTCTGCTAGAGACCTCTGAGCTTGGCATCAGTCAAGAGGATAATTCAACTGCACTTTGTTTTTTCATGTTTTTCACAAGGATAAAATGAAGAAATGGTGGGGTCTCAATAAACATCATTGAATAAATGACTGTGCCCAATACATCTTTTCTATCAGAAGCAGGAAAGAAACATTCAACCTCCAGTTAATAAATGAATTTAAGTAAAGAAAATGTCAACCTCAGTTTGCAAGAAAGGAACATAATGTATATTTTAAAGAGATGTTACAAAGAACAACATTACTTTGCAAAATGTGGGGGTTTTTTTCAGCCATTCATGTTATGATAAAAAGCTGATCACTGCTTTTCTGAATTAGTTATTAATGTTCTGCTTTTTAGTGGTCCTGAAAAACGTTTGATAGCATCAAAGACTTTGAGGTAGCACAAGTAAATCAGCCCATATTGCTGTAAACAGCATGATCCCAATTGACTTAAATTTCCTGCAACATCCCTAGAACCTGGGGAGCTGTACAGTGAGAGCTGGATTGTACAGGCGGTGCTCATTGTTTTTTCTCTGCTCTATACTTTTCTTGTGAAGAGATTTTATAAACAATTGTGTAATGCCATTTAGGGCTGCAACTGTCATATTAGGGAACACAGGTTATATATTATCTCTAAAAATGAATAACAGGAATATCATAAGCCTATAGTTCTGTCCTACATTAGTAGCTGAGGACTTCTTTTATGTGATATCAGTTCCAGAATTAGAGTTAAGAAAAGGAAGGAAAGAGGGAGGGAGGCAGGGAGGGAGGGAGGAAGGAAGGGAGGGAGGGAAGAAGGAAGGGAGGGAGGAAAGAAGGGAGGGAGGGAGGGAGGGAGGAAGGAAGGAAGGAAGTGGAGAGACAGGAAAGGAGGGGATGGAAGGAAGGGAGAGAGGGAAGGGAGGGAGGAAGAGAAGGAAGGAGGAAAGGGAGGGAAGAATAGAAGGGAGGGAGGAAGGAAGAAGGGAGGGAGGACTGAGAGGAATGGGAAAGGGAAGGGAGGGAAAGGGAATGGAAGGAAAGCCTTAAATTTGGGCAGACAAAGTTAGAATTTACATCATGCCAGTGGACTTAGATGGAACCAAATGTGTTGTTTACTTCCTCTTCTTCTTGATAGGTTGATTAATGCTGACTCCAGCAATCGTGGGTCACACATGCAGATGTTGTTAGAGAAACAACTGTTGGCCTGGCTTTTCCTTCCCAGCAGGTGATAACTAATCTGTCCAAAAATCTTCCCCATAGGCACAGGGGAAGGTTATGATCATGAAATTTTGGAAGGACTGCTCTTCAGAAAGATGGAGAAATGGCAGGAAGCAGCATTTTCTTGACTCCAGCATTTCCTGCAGATGAAATAGTTCAGCTGAAACCTTTTATAAAAAGGGTCAGTGGGGTGCATGCATAACGTTCACACTTTAGAATTAGAAATAAATAGACACAGACAGGGAACTTGAGAGGCTAACAGTATGGTTGAAGAGCAGAATCTAAATCACATGCAATTGTTACAGGACTGAGTATGTATTTCAAAACTCACCTGAGAGGTGAGAAAGAGGAGTGTTCCTCTGTCTCCAACGGTGGGAAAGAAGAGGTAATCAGATGCCAGCCTGTAGCCTCTGGATAACTTAGGAGAAACAAAAGGCTCTAATTTTCTGATTTTCCAGGCAGGTTTCAGTTATTGCCCACAGAAGAAGCACCTGTGGGGCTTTGCTGAAAGAGAATATGCATACAAGGTGTTTGGTGCGTTACCTCTTGACTGCACTGAGCTTGTTTGACCCCATCCTTTAACAGGTCTCATTTCATCCAAGTCTCTGCTTAAGGAGCCACTGGGTTTGCTGGTTATGGACCAAAGCTTCCTTTGTTGAGATGCCCTTTTTTCTCCTACCTTTGAAGCTGTTTTGTTTGCTCTTCAAGTTTGTTTTCATTTTCTTTTAGCAGCGCTATCATCTAAGAGAAGGAATGTACTTCATTCCTTTAGCTTTCACTCTGAACCTTTCATATTTCTTGTTGGATTCTCTCTGGTCAATTTCTGAATACCCTGAAGTGTTGAAAGTATTATGACAAACATAAGGGAGAAACAGATGAAAAGTCTTTTTTTTTTTTTCATGGCTGGAACACAGCAGAAAATTTCATCTTTGGTAGAATATGACTGGAGGGCTCTGTTCATAAAAGTTTCTTTATTAGACTAGCTATACAATATCAGCAGACTCCCAGAGGGTTTCCAGAGCCTAATAGGGGTTATTGAGTTGATGGAGCTGTCATCTACTTGCTCTGTTCTGAGACCCACCATCAGCCTGTCAGTCCCAGTTTACTACTGGTTCTGACAATGGAAAAAGCAATTTGCATTCCATAAACGTTAATTAAAAGCAAAGCTGATCCCTACTCATTTTGTGACCCATGCCTTGCACACAACAGATGACCAGTAACTACTTTTACATGACTGTCAGGGTGATAGGGAGATAGGTTCTTATGCATCAAATATTTTCTACACTTTACATTTCTGCTGGAGGCCAGGTATGGTGCCTCACACCTATAATCCCAGTACCTTGGGAGGCCAAGGCGAGGGGATCCCATGAGGCCAGGAGTCCGAGACCAACCTGGGCAACATGGTGAAACACCATCTCTACTAAAAATACAAAAATTAGTCAGGTGTGGTGGTGCATGCCTGTAATCCCAGATACTTGGGAGGCTGAGACACAAGAATCATTTGAACCTAGGAGGTGTAGGTTGCAGTGAGCCAAGATCGTGTCATTGCACTCCATCCTGGGTGATAGAGTGAGACGCTGTCTCAAAAACCAACAATTTCTGCTTCAAAGAATAATCCTTTTATAGAGTGGAAAGCACAGACTTGATTTGGATATAATATGCTGGGGTGACTTGGGAAGGCTTCTATGAGAAAGTGACCTTACAATAGAATTTGACAGGAGCAAGGGAGCTAGTCCTATAGTAGCCAGAGGGAGAACATGTCAGGCAGAATTAGAAGCAAATGCAGAGCCTATGAGGCAAGAATATGCTTTGCTGTCAAGAACCCAGGGAGCAAGAGGAAAACGGGTAGGAGAGGAGGATAGGAGAGTAGAGCAGTGTGGGAACTAGAGAATGGAGAACCTTGAAAGTCATTGCTGGGACTTTGAATTATCTTCTGAATTGAATGGAGCTGAATGGCATGACCTGGCTTTCATTTTAGATAAGTCATTTTGGCTCTAGTGCTGAGAAGAGCTACTAAGGGGGCAAGAAAGACATCAGACCAGTAACAAGCCAATGGGATAAATCAAATGAGAAAAGGGAGTAGCTTGGAGCAAGTAGTGACAGGAAGGTGAGAAGATTTTAGAAGTAGATTCAATAGGTTTTGCTGCTGGATTGAATGTGAGATATGAGCGAAAAGAGAGCTCCAGCATTATGAACCCGAGCAACTGGAAAAAAAAGGGCTGCCATTTGCTGAAATAAGGAAGCTTACAGGGAGGTGAGTCATCAGGAGCTTGGTCTCCAGCATTTAATTTAAGGTTGAGCTGACTAATAAATGCAAAAGGAGAAGCATCAAGCAGGCAGCTGAGTGTCCAAGTCTTGAATTTAGGGAAGAAGTCGGCTGGAGATACAAACCTGGGAGTCATAACTGGAAGAGGCCATCTGGTATGGCCAAAAAGGATGAGAAGATTGAGAACTAACACTCCAGGGATGCCCAGATAACAGGAAGCAGCAAAAGAGGCCAAGGAATGGAGGAGTGATCAAGGGTATCACATAGGTCAAGGAAAATGGAAAATGGTTTCAGTTCCAGTAGAGTGGGCTCAGATGAGGACAGGAAAAGAGAAAATGGAGACCACCTAGACACTTCTCAGGGAGTTTTCCTTAAAGAAGAATAGAGTAATTGAGCAGGAAACTGAGGGTAATGTTGGGGCAAGGAAAGGAGTTTGTTTGCCTTTAATAGAAGATGTTAGTAGCACTTTCTGAGAATGCTCCAGGAAAGAGGACAAACCATGATAAAGGAGAGATAGTTTATTGTAAACTACTCAATTGCTACTAATTGAGCAAAAAGAAAGTCCACCTTTCCGAGGAAAACTTTGGAAATTGGTTATATTGTTTTTATTTTGTAATTAGATTTGAATGCAGCTGTGTTGTTTTCTGAGCTGGAGTCATGGTAACCCGAGGTACAAGATGATAAACATGCATTGCGTTTTAAGAAAACATTTCCAGAGCCAAGAGAGAGGCCTGAATTGAAGATAAAATTATACACCTTCAAATGTGTGTTGACTTCACTATCAAAGAAGTAAATATTACATTATTGGTAATATTTCAGTTGTAAGTCTACTGTGTCTTTACTTAACCTATATTTGTTTGGGTTTCGTAGTAATTCAGGTTCAGAAAAACTAAATGAGCCTTTGCAATATATGTGAGAAAGATTGAGAGGAAATGGAAATGAAATGAAATTGCAAAGGGGCGATTAACATTCTTTCACAGAACTGTTTCTAAGCTCTATAAGCAGCCTTTGACATCTAGGTGTGCAAATGAAAAATGTTCCTTCTCTCTTCAGCAAGTTGGCAGCCCTTTGCTGCCTTTATGAGGAAACGTGAGGACTCCTCTAACAGGAAGTGTGCAGTTTCTGATGCAATTAACCGGAAGTGTGTTGGCAGTGACATAGCTTACCAGAGGCAGAAGCAGCACCAATAGAATAGAGCAGTTAAAAATGATAATGAATAACGGTAGTGACTAATGTTTGCATAGTGCTTTGCCATTTACCAAGGCCTTTTGAATGTGTTACATAATTCCATTCATTTGGTAAATATGTGTTTCCTTCATGTTCCAAGGCCTAAACATTTAGCTATGAAAAAGGTTTCTTTCTCATGAAACTTAACATGAGCTGCTTTGTTAATCGCCCTTTTGCGATTTCATTTGCCTGTTTTCTCTCAGTCCCTCTCACATACATTGCAAAGGCTTATTTAGTTTTTCTGAACATGAATTACTATGAAGCCCAAACAAATTGGGG